GTCGGTCATTCTTTTTTTTTTTTTTTTTTTTTTTTTTTTTTTTTTTTTTTTTTTTTCTTCGCCAAAACTATAGTCTACATGTACGCAATGAAAATTAATACTGGCATTACCATTTAAAATGTTCATATTGCGGTGTAATGGCATATATAAGAGCAGCTTCGAAGCAGCTTCGTATATCATCATCAACCAGCCAGCGTGATATCAGGCATAGCAACAGCATAGCAATTACCATCCAGCATCATCCTCTAGTATGGCATCATAGCATATAAAATACCTCGAGAATGACTCTTCATTTCTCGCCATATCAGTCCAAACGTAATCTCAATTAGGCAAAATAGCAAACCAAACAAACTCGGGCCCAGATTCGATATCATGAGACGACAAGCTCCACACAAGCTCTCCGTGATCTCCCTATTCAAACAGTCAGTGCCCTATCGAAAATGAGAATTAAAGACAAGCTCGCATTACCCTTATCTAACAATAACCCTGTTTGGGGCATGGGTGAATCCTCAACCAGTCAGATGGCGTGGTCGAGCAACCTCGATATCCACACTGGCATTCACCTCAACCCTCAATGGAAACCCCCGCTACCAGCCTTCATATTGTTGGGCCCTTTCTTCGGCACGGGCCGGAGCTGTCAATGCACGACAATAGGATACTTACTCCGTTCCGTAGGTCAAGGATGGTTCGTTTGGCCTCGTCGCCCATCCTGTTATATAAGCCCTACATCTCTTCTTTCTTCTCTCTTCTTCTCCTCTTTTCTTCCTTTCTTCTTCTTCTTCTTCTTCGTCTTCCTCTTCCTCTTCTTCATTCTTCTCGACAACCATCATCATATTTCTATCATTACTATCTATCCTCATCCACAATCCATCGACAACATCATCAACATGTGCCACCCTACCATCCTTTGGTACGGGTGCGACCACCTCACCCTCACCCAGCTCAAATGTCCTCTCGACGTCCTCAACATGGAGCACACTTTTGACGAACTTACTCTCGCTTGCTCAGGCGACGCCTGCTGCCTCTGCGCCCTCCCCGCGATCCGCAATATCCAAGAGCTCAGAAACAACTGGCTCTCTGGCTCGAAGGTTGCCAAGTTTTTCAAAATTGAAGCTGACGATGCAAACATGGAGGATTTCATTACTCTGTTTTTCGAGATGGGACATCATGTACAGTGCGAGGAGCATGCTGCTTTGAGACTCGATGGTGCTACTGCTTCTCGTTCTCCTCCTGCTTCTGAGTCGGGTACCCCTGCTCCAGAGCCTGCTGTTGAGCCTACCCAGGTTCCGTCGCCTCGTTCTCCTGTTGCAAAGGTATGGAGCTGAGTATTATAGCGTTGATTTTGAGGACTAATTGTGATATAGCAGAGCAAGCGTAGTCGTCCTGCTTCTCAAAACAAACAACCTCAAAACACCCAGAAAAACAAAGCTTCGACTTCAAATCAGTCTAAGACTACGACCACGGCTCAGTCTCAGTCTCAGGCTCAGGTAAGAACGACAAATCCAGTCGTCGATAAGAACTAACTTAAAGAGACCCAGGTCGCTCAGAAGCCTCCTACTTCTCAACCTACATCCGCGATCCAGCCCCAGCCCATGGCTACGGCTCCAGTCCCAGCTCAGACTTACGCTCAAGCTCAGGTGAGAGCTACCGATTCCAGTTCTCAATGAAGAAAGCTAACGATAAGTCCCACATCCAGCGCCCTGTTCCCCCTCAGCCTACACCCGCGTTGCAACCCGTTCCCACGCCCCAAAGCTTTCCTCAACAGTCCTTCCCTACTCCTATCTCTCCCCAGCTACTCAAAACCGAAGAAGACGCCTTCCTAGCCGAAACGTTTCTTCAGTGGAAACACGAGTTGGATCTCGCCGGTGGCAACTTTACAGACGTCGATTTCGAAGACATCCAGGCTTACATCGAGTTGGAGGAAAGTTTTGGTACCAAGCACGGAAACCAGGGGCCAATCCAAGGTTTGACTAGCGCTGGTTTTGCTTTCGATGCAGAGCTGCAACAAGTTTCGCAGCCTCCAATTGTCCAGCACAATGTCCGGGCTCAGGCTGGTCGCGTTCAGAATCCTGCTCATGCTCGTGTTGCTTTTGATGCCGCCGTCCAGCAGCAGCAGCAGCAGCCGCGCCCTATCCAGCGGCAGGCTCAAAGGCCTGTCAATCCCAACTCCCACGCCCAGCAACCACAGCAAAACACCATTCCTGTCCACCACGCTACTCAGAATCCTCCCAGCGTGAACGTCAACGCCCAACTCCCACTGCAGAGAGTTCGGGTTCAGCATGCTGCTGATTCCAGCGTCCACACCCATCCAGTTCAGCCTACTGCTCAGAAGCCCGTCAACGTGAGCACTCACGCTCAACTTCCACTTCAGGGCACCCCAGTCCAGCATACTGTTGATCCCAGTGGCCACGCCCACTCACAGCATCCTATTCAGAAACCTGCCTACGTGAATGCCCACGCTCAGTGCCCACAGCAGCCGAACGCTCCAATCCAAAACACCGCTCCCCAGCAAGTCCACAGTACTCCAGCTCACCCCGACCAAGCTACTCCCTACGACGGTACAAACTGGGGCGGCAAAGGCGTCTATCTCCCTGACAAAAACGTCTACTTTGCCGGCGACAAGCCTCATTCTCCGAATCCCGATGCTCAGCCTTGCACTCCTCTTCCTGAATTGAACACTACTTTTGCTCTTTCCGAGAGCGATTCCTTGGTTTTGAAGGAGCATCTTGATGAGCAGGCATCGTTCTTGGAATTTACGAACATCGATGAGCTCTGCAATGAGTCTGGTGATGCCATGATGCTGGATGTGTCTGCGTCTTCGGAGCAGTACGCTGCGACCATTCAGGGTAGCCAGGGACAAACCGTGCACCAGCCCATCGATCCTCGGTTGTTGAACCAATACGGTAACCAGGTTGCCTACAATTGTTCCCAGGCCAGCGGCTCGGGACGAAGCACTCCGTCTCACTTGAACATGAACATGGACACTCAACAACCTGTCGTGCATCAGTTCGTTCAGCAACCCGCTCAAATTGTATTCCACCAAAACGACACTAATGCCGTGGCTCAACTTTCTTCTGAAGAAACGCACCAAATTGCCACCGCGACCAAGCCGAAGCGCAAGGGTCGTGGTAGACCCAGGAAAGCTCAAACGGCTTCTGTCAAAATTGTTGACAACGGAAATGGCACCACCAGCCCCAGCAACGGAAACTCGAGCACCGCCAGCACTACCAGTACCACTGCTACGTCTACTGCTACTACGATCACCGCGGCCGCAGCTAATGACCCAACTCATGGCATCTCCAAAGCCACCGCCGCTACCTCCCGCATAACCAAACAATCCACCACAACCCCTCCCTGCCTATCCGCAACAGCAACCAGACCTCGCTCGCGCTCAAACAGCAACACCAGAACCAACACAGCCACATCCACCACAAAAGGCAAAGGACGAGGCCGCACCACCAAGAAGAAAGAAAACAACGAGCCCAAAGGCACCCTGGTTACCATTGAGAGACCTCCTGCCGATAACACGGCTGATCCGACGGAGGATTATATACAGAGGTATAGTAACCCGGTGGCGATGTTGTCTCCTTGTTCGAATTAAGTTGTTGGGCTGGCGCGAGTTGAGTGGAGTCGCGTTCGAGTGAGGTATACGGGGTTGAGTTGGTTGGGGTTGATGCATATACGATGACAGATGGATGCGTGATGCATGATGCATGATATATGGGCTTTTCTGTTCTTCTTCTTGTTTATTTTGCGGTTTTATATTCTTGTTCATCATTTTACAAATCTTGTCTATTCATTTTCCAGATTGTTCTTGGTTTGTCGGTTAGCGATTGCGATGGCGATGATATTTATATGGGATTTCTATGGATGGGCGGGTTTACTCTTATGCTTCATGATGTTTTCGTTTCTATGGTCATGGTCATGTTCTTTAAGCGGTGTTTTCAAACTTCATTTTCTCATTCGTGTGGATATTTTCAACGCTTCGTTTCGTTCAGTCCAGATTGGATTGATGGATTGTGGATAGGAAAAGCGGTTAGGGCTCCGTTGGCGAAGATTCAATGAATTTAGGATAAGGGATTCATCATCGGTTCAGTCCAGATTTGTTTATCTTCTTTACTGGAAGTCTTGGAGCTTTCGTCTTGAACAGAAACTGGATAATGAACAATGGAATGGACATGGTATTGAACTTTTCAGCATCTATCCTCATTACCCTGGCATAAACACTTCATAATCATAAACCTCGAGACGAGAGAAAAAGAGACTTGACTAAAATCCCAAATCCCCCTCCCCATCAAACTCCCCCGAAACATCCATCCCCTCCCCCTCCTCCTCATCATCCTCATCCAACCCCTCGAAGATCATAAACTTCTCGTTCTTCGCATCCGTCTCTTCCTCAACAGCATTACCGTCCTGAACCTCGCAGTCTTTAAGCACGCTCTCGCGACCGATCTTGGACCGTCGTCCGACGATACATCCCGTCAGCTGGCATCGTTCGCCGACCACGGCGCCGTCCATGACGAGACAGCGGGTGAGGCGTGCGCCGCTGGCGATGTGGCAGTTTGCGCCGATGACTGATTCCTTGATGACGCATTTTTCTTCGACGGTTACGTTCTCTGCGAGCAGGCAGTCTGCTTTGGTGACTGTGCAGCGCTGGGCGATGCCGGCGGGGTATGCGACTTTTTGGTTGTGGGCGAAGGGCGAGGAGGCTGTGCGGCCGGCTTCTTCGACGGATTCCAGTTTGGCGAGGCGGAGGGTGATGGAGAGGAGGATGGCGGAGTTGTCGATGCGGCGGAGGAGCGGGGCGGAGGGCATGGAGGAGTGAACGTAGGCGAGCATTGGGGGGACGATGAGGTCTTTCGCTGAGGATTCTTTGGGGGCGGCTTCGAGGCTGGAGTTTGTGCGGGATGGGGCGAGTTCGGGGACGCTTCCTGGTGCGGTTGTGTCGCGGGATGCGCCGGCGCCCGCCTTCGTGGTACTCATGGCCTTAAGGTCAATTTCCTCCTCAAGAGCCGGGCCATCGTAGCTGGTGTTCTCGCCATCTTCCTGCTTCGCGGGCTCGAAGATTTCCCTTAATCGCAGTTTGTCACCTAGGCCTGCCTGCCATCCAGACTTTGCCCACCAGCCCACCAGGTCTTCACTAACACTCTCGAACTTTTCGTTCAAGCGCGCAAGATCCTTGACCCAGTGGGGAAAGACGTATATATGGGCATCGCGGTAGCTCGACAGCATCTTAACTTGCGCGTGCTTTTTAACCAAAGAGTGACGAATGAGCAACCCCTTATCCTCTTCCATCTTCTCCTTCAACGTATCCATCGGCATAGACAGCACAAGCTTGGACAACCCAAACCGTATCGAAGCTGGTCCATCCAGCGGATGCGACACGGCGGGTGCCTCGTCCTGCTCGAGAGGAGTCGTAGCCACAAAGTCCGTCACTTCTCCCTTGACACTCTCTTCCCTGCCTTGGGTCTGGTAGTACACGCCCAGTCCACCCCGTCGGCCACCTTGTTCACCACCCATTCCAACGGATCTCGGGCCGTGTGTATGGCGACCGTCGCGGACTGTCGATCCGCCCAATGCACTTTGTGAAACCATCCATGCCTCCAAGAGAGACTCGCCCGGGATATCGCAAATAAGGTCACAAGGAAGGAGGAGGAAATCGGACTTGATGCTCGACTGAACTTCGGGGAGACGGAGCAGTTCTGCGGTACCAGTCGTCAAGGTAAGGTCGGCCGGTGCGACGACGGACGCGGAGGGCGAGGGGAGGGAGGTAAGGTGAGGGTTCTGTGAGAGAGCTGCTTCCAGCGGGGCTTTGCTAGCAGGGGGTGTGATGAGTGTAATGTCTGGATTAATCAGAATCAGTCAGTCGCCAAATCAGCTAGGTCTAAGGTTTGTGCATACTGGTAATTCCCATGCGATAGCACCAATCCAATGGGTACCACAGCATCGGACGGTTCGCAATTGGGATCAGAGCTTTGGGGAACTCTTCCGGGTTCGAGGTAAAGGTGTTGAGAGAAACACCAGGCCCGCACAGAATGATAGCCTGGAAGCCCGTGGGGGGCACAGGGATTGAATGAGGCATAGCGACTGCTCGTCCAGTTGGACTTCTGGTATCGTGGTGACCGCGGGGGAGGGGAAGTGAAAGAGATGAGCTTCTGACAAAGAGATGTCGATTAGATTAGGGGAATAGAAGCCTAGCGCAGCCGCAGGAAGCTCTCTATTAGCTCAAAAGGTGTATATTCAGAAGGTCAAAAGGAAACACCGCGTTCTGTCCTGACTCACTCCGGACAGTCAATTGTGCTTTTTTCGAGAAACCGCCCAATATCACGTGCCGATAGCAGTGCTGAGTCATGATATGTGCAAACTGTGCAAATCGTAAATTACAATACGGTACCGTACACCAACGCCGCGGCAACCCCAGTAAACATACGTCCAATGATTCCTCCAGCCACATGTTTCTCGGCTCTCCGAGGCTATGGGATCAACCTCCGTCTTTCTCAGGTCTCTCCCTCCTTCCTCTCCCTGCCTCCAACCTCGTTTCCCTCCGTAGGAGAGACATGCGATGTGACCTTCACGATCCGCGATCCGATCTGAGATTCTATGCGTCTGGTTTAATTGACGTCTGCGACAGCAATGTCTTTACCTGATGCTCGCCGCCGGCGCGGAGCTGGTATTGGTTTTAGCCCAACGGGACAACGAACTACTCTGGGATACTGGGTGCCTTTGGCCGTGACTGTCGGCGTTGCAACAGCTGGCATCGCAGCATGGATCTGGAGTGAGCGGAGCGATGAAGACGAAGAAGACGATCACGGCGAGCAATCCCGGGACGATCTGGACGAACAAGAGGATGGATTCCCCGCCGCGCCTGGTCCTGGTGGGGAAGACATGCCTTCTGATATAGCAAATGATGATGCTGGAATGATGGCTCGTATGCACAACACTCTACGGCGGACCCCCAGTCCTCAGCAGATCTTCGACGGCGCCAGCAAACGAGTTGCGGCCGGTGTGGCTGCTGCAGGGGCGTTCGTCGGTGGGCTTACTTCAATCCGAGAAGAGAACAGAGGCGACTTCGAAGATCATTCGAGATGGTCGGAAGAAGTAGAGTCCAGGGACAATGAAAGATCTCAGCAAGCTGGTGAGGCTCCGACGATGAGCGGTGCGCTCCCGACTCCTCGCGGCGCTACTCCTGGGAAGAAGAAGAGTGTTGCCATTGTTGTGTCGTCTGCGTCGTCCGATGGTCTTGAAGACTCCACCTTTGAACATGCGGTAAGTTCCATTCCTCGACTTCTAATTGACAAGCATGCTGATAATGTTGGAACAGTCTATTCTATCTCACCTCCCCGAACACATCGACGAAAACACCAAGATCTTCGTTCTGATCTATGCTCCTGACCTGAAGCATGGTACCAACAAAGGAACTTCTCCCAACCAACCTCTGTCCGTCACTTCATCCTACTCTAACATCAACCCCGAAGACGCTGCTTCGTCTGGTGAACTGCCCACCGTTGAGCCCCGCCAAATGGACGAATCCGAGGGCAAGACACCGCTTTTTAAGACCTTGTACTCCCAGGCCCTCGCGATTGTTGATAAGGAAAACACAATCATGCCCTTCAGCACTGAATCCGGATACGTGCACCTTGTGCGCCATCTCTCGCCAGAACTTGTATATGTCCAAGAGTCCCTGGCAGGCAAGGATGGAAGCGCTGCTCAGCATATCTCCGGATGGGTCCGACAGGTAGTTGTTGTCGTTGGCGACGAAGGTGGCCGTGGTGGTCTCATCGACAGTGATGACGAATCAGCCCTCGCAGAGAATGGTGAGAAGTGGTGGCAGAAAGAAGGTGTTACTGGTATTGGAAAGCGCATCGATGTTGTGGATGTGCTCCGTACTGGATTGGACTGGCGCCGCAGAGTGCGCGGCCTAGACTAAAAGAGTCGTACATGCTTGAACTCAACTTGGTGGCCATGTCGATATAGTTAATGGCTGGATATTTATACCTGTTTTCCCCTTGTGCCTTTGTCGTGATTGGCTTTTGATTCCCCCTGCTTCGTCTTTTGTTCGCTTTTTCAGTTAATGTTTCTACATGGACGGATGATCATTGATCTCTGTCCTAGTTACGCCTGAATGAAAATAGCTCTACGAATCTAACTATGCCGTTCTGTTTGTTTGACCCCATGCCTCCGACCTCGGTAAACACCGCATTTTATCGCACCCAGTATGCGTCAATTGTAAAGATTTCCTGCTCTCGCGCGCAAGGACTTGGCCATGTATATAATTCACTGAGAATTCAATCACTGTTCTCTCTAGCAATAATCGAAGTACATGTACTCCGTAGTGTGCTATTCAATGCGGTCGAACTAACCGGAAGCGGTAGTCATGTGAGCAGCCGGCGTCTCGTTCGTCCACGGCTTGGCATCAACCAACTCCCTCTTGCAGAGCCTCACCGTCGTTCGATGGCCATCCCCCGACGGATCCCCCCCGTCATCCCCGCAATCCTCAGCTTCTCGGACCCCGGTGTACCGTTTGTCTACTTTCGCTCGCTTTCGTGCATCTTTCCGCTTCAACTCCGGCCAGTTCGTTGTTGTCCGGTCCCGTCCTCCGCTCCCCACATGTCTCGCGCATCGGCTATTATCTCATTGACGACGTTAGAAGCGACGGCGTTCATTTATCATCTTTAAATCTCGCGGCGCGATATCATACGGGTAGTCGCATCGACGACTCGCTGGATTTCCCCCAAGTCGCATCACATTAGACGGGGGGTCTCGCAGCGCGACCGCAATCCAACCATGGCAACGGTCATCACCAAACCCGCCTCTCACCCTCCCAAAATGAAACGGCCACCCCCGCCTCTGGGGGGTCAATCCGGGCTCAACGGAATCAGAGCTCCTCAACAATCCCCTTCCTCCTCTTCTCCTTCCTCTGCGTCGAAACGTCCCCCGGGGCCTGGTCAATTGGATGCGGCGAATGCCACCGGCGGTCAAATGGCGAATGGCGTCAATGGCGCGTCTTTTTTGAACAGCTCCAACAACAAGGGTCCCCTGAACCGACCGAGAAGGGATGCGCAACGAATTGCTGACCATCCTACGCGGGTACAACGGTCATTATCGAAGACAATGCCGACGGATAATGACCGCCGGGTAGGCAAGAAGTGTCCCGAGCCATATGGTAAGGCGCCTATCATGAAAATGGTTTCTGTTTACGGCGTGAACTAACGACTATTATTAAGTGAAAACAACGCCCTATATCCTGAAGAAATACGCAAAACATCCTCCCTCCCTTATTGTCCACCTCCATCCGACCCACTTTCGTTTCGAACAACAAGATGGAAGCTTTCCTTATAATTCTGAGATGAAAGTCATCATCGAACATATTCGCGCAGGGACTGTTCCTCATGATATGATGGAGGAACTCTTGCGGGCCAATGTTAAATTCTACGAAGGTATTATTTTGGCCATATACAAGGTGACCATGTCATAGCGCTAATCTGATCGTGTCGCCAGGTTGTTTGATCGTTCGCGTGGTTGATCATAAGTCGGCCACAGCGCAGGCCAGGAAAGCAACGGCCACGCAATCGAACGACAACAACTCACCTTTTTCGATTCACAACTACAACGAACATATTACTCCATCACCTTTTGTGCCATATCCTAAACATAATCAACTGGCCTCTGAACAAACGGCCGCAAAGACAGAGACAGCAACCAATGGTACTCCGGACCAGAACAAGGAAGTTGTTAAAGATGCGTCGGCAAAAGAGGCTCAGGCTCCGCTCAAGCCTAAAGTTTTTACAACGGTCCTTCATCCTACCACTCGTTCGCTGCAGGCGGAATTGACGCTGCTTGCTACTACCCCTAATCCGAGAGCTGCCAGACAACAAGCGGAGTCTTCGAATGACCAGACCAACGGTCACGTCGCAAAGCGACAAAAGATGCTGGTTGAACCGCAACATTTGCTAGAATGCGAATCTAAGCTGACTAGGGCGTTGGCGCCACCACTCTTTTTGGAACCTGTGGATAGCTTAGAAGCTGTGCAAGACCTTTTGAAATTCATGGAGAGCCCGATGCATCGTGATCCGCCACCATCGCCCAAGAGACGCAAGCGAACCGTGGCTGAACTTGAAGCGGATGAAGCGCTGGCGGCCGAGGAAGAGCGCTTCATGCTCATTATGGACGAACGCTTGGAATCAAGTGTTTCGAACGGTGCAGGAGGAACGAAATCCGCTGTTGATGAAACCAGCGGCGGTGCGCCATTCGAGCCGCGCTTCTCCCGATTCAAAACGCTGGAGAATATTCGCATGCAGCACGAGGAAAAGGCGAAGCGGGAGCACGAAATCAAGCTCAAACAGGAGATGGCCAAGAGACAGCAGCAGGAGATGGAGCGAGAACGACGTCGGGTTCTGGAACAACGGCAGGCCGAAGAACACGCCAGAGAAGAAGCTCGACGACAGCAGCTCGCGGCGCAACAGGCACAGGCACAGCTTGCTGCTCAGCAGCAGCAGAGTCGCCTGGCCCAAGCGAACGGTGTCAGTCAAGGGCAGCAGTCTTCTCCGGTGGTTCGCAACCAGACACCGCTCAACGTTTCTTCGCCCATGGTTGGAAATACGATGGCTACACAAGGGGCTATTCCTATGAGTATCACATCGTCTGCACAAGGTGGAGCTGGCAGCCCACCGCGACCTCCGTCAGCTTTGCAGCACGCTCACCCGAGCGTCATCGGCCATCCTATGGCCCCGTCCAGAAGCCAACAAGGGGGACAGAGCCGGCATGGAACACCGCAAATGACCCAGGGAACGCCCGCGGTGTCTCATGCGACTCCGATTATGCGCAATGCGACACCTCGGATGAGCCACGGCAGCCCAAGCCACTCGGGTATCTCTCAAACCCCAGTGATGAACCAGGGCATGATGGCCACGCCGCAGATGGGCGGTGGTGGAATGGGCTTGACACCGCAGCAGCAACAATTGTTGTTGCATCAGAGACAACAGGCGATGATCGCTGCCCAACAGGGAAACCTTGGACACAGCGGACTTACCCCGCAGCAATTTTCCCAGTTGCAAGCGAACGCGCATGCTCAGCAAAACATCCAGCAATACCAGCAGCATCTGTTACAGCAACAGCAGCAGAACCAGCAGCAACAACAACAACAACAACAACAACAACAACAACGGATACCGAATCAGCACGCATACCAGGCACAGCTGATGCGCGCGCAGCTCACTCAAATGCAAATGGCGCAGAATCAACAACAGCAGCACCCGCAACAGCACCCACAACCACAGAACCAACAGGTCCAAGCACAACAGAACGGAGGCCACCAAGGCAGCCCCCAAATGACTCCCCAACAACAACAGCAACAAATCCTAATGGCAGCAGCACAAGCCAACGGCGGCCATCTCCCGCAGAACTTCCAAGGCATGAACATGGCTCAGCGCTACACCCAACTATACCACCAACGACTCCTCCGCCTCCGACAAGAGATGGCGCACCGGTTCACCGGGCAATACGGACCGCCCTCGCAGTATCCGCCGCACATCGCACAGCAGTACGGCCTTGGACTCGAACGCAGCGCCAAAGTGTGGGTCAACGAGCTTATGAAACGAGAGCGCGAATCCGTGCAGCAGCAGCGTGCTAGCCAGGTCGCGGCTGTTCAGGCCCAGGTGATGCAACAGCAACAACAGCAGCAACAGAATATGATGCGGAATGCATAATGTTTTTTTTTTTTTTTTTTTCTTCTTCTGGCATGGTCGAAATCGTCCACGTCTTTTTACTTTTATTTTTGCTTGCATTGAATTTATCATTCCCAGGATTGTTTATGGTTTTGGACTGTATAGGAAGACTGGCGTTGAAGCTCGTTACTTTTGGCTTTTTACTCTTCTACTAACTTCATACCTTTTTTTCTTACTAACTACTAACCTTTTTGCGTTGGCTTATTTCGCTTTTCTTGTTTTTGTGCATCGTGTACCAATTGGGAAGGCTTATTCAGGGGCGGACAGAATATACCATTGTACAGGCGTATGTTGGCAACTTGTATTCAATAGGTGAATTGATTTGAATGTATCTGCTACTGGTAGATCGTAGATAGTAGTGTACGTAGTACCTCACTGATCCATCCCATGAACTTGACTATTCAGGTCAATTGAATGAGATCTATCCGTAAGCCACATTAATCGCATTACCCTGGTATACGACGACTACATGAGTACGTACTATCTCAAAACATAAATTGAAAGTTAGAAAAAAATCCATTCTCTTCTCTGCTCTACATATATTATAATAATAACTCAAAAACAAGAACATCTCCAAAATCAGACTGTTGAGCTTGATATATTTTTTGATCACCCAGCGCAGAAAACTGCATCGTGCCAAAGAAAAGGAGTCATCATAGAATGGAGATGTTCACAACAAACATTAAACAAATGGGCAATTCTCCAAGTAATTCGAGAGTACTGCAGACTTGCACATAACCAAGTCTGCGATATCTATCTGATATCAATCATTTGAATGATAGATATCGCATTGCAATGCCAATACCAATGCCAACCGGCAATGGCAGGTGATACAAAAGAGAAGAAATTTCCGCAAGATCCGTTGTGCGACGCGCTATTTATCCTTCCCCATGCTTAGTAATAGCCCTATCCACTTATGGTGCATAAATGGCACAGCATAATTTGTATAACGTGCCCTATCTCAACTATCATTATTCATACAATACCGATAGTTCTAGCCTAACTAACACTAGCACTAGCACTAACTCATAGCCAATAATTAGCAACTAAATCTCTCTCTCTCTCTCTCTCTCTCACCAATACTGTGACGGCTCAACGACCAGACAAACATTGCCAACATGC